CTTCTTGTATCTGAAGAAGTGAGGTTCTTACCCATGAAAGCTTATGCTCCCAATACTTCTGTTAGTCTTAAAGGTGCCACTGGACCCTCTGTTGCTTTTTACAGATTCAGACTAACACGGCTACCCCTCTGATACATAATTTACTGTGTTACCTAGTCAGGGGTGAAAGTAAAATGGAGCTCTTACCAGTACGGGGGCGCTCTGACACGCCTGGAAGGGGCGGGGCCTCGGGCAGAAGGGGCAGGGCTGGGGTCAGTGTCCCCCAGCCAGCCCATCTGCACTCCAATGGCAATTTAAAGGGCCCGGGGCTCTAGCTGGTGGTGGCAGCAGCAGCCGGAGCCCCAGGCCCTTTTAAATCGCGGCCCCAGGGCAGCTACTTCTTTTGCCCCGGCCCGTTGGCGGCCCCGGTGGCTGCCCCTTTTGCGCCCCCCCTATTGACAGCCCAACTGGTAGGGATCCGGCAGGGCCGCCAATGGGGGGCGCAAAAGGGGCAGTGATGTTAAAGTGCTGCCATGGCAGTGCTTTAAGCAGAGTCCTTCAAGCCCTGCCGCGGCAGTGCTTTAAAGTCAGCGGTACGGGCAGGTACTGGTGGCTACTTTTTACTGGTACGCCGTACCGGCCCATACTGCCTTACTTTCACCCCTGTCCCTAGTTCTTCTGTGTTTGTTGTTTAAGAATTTTTTCAGCATTCTCTGAAGCTTACTATTTATATTTCTAGACTGAAGGGCATTGGCTAAGTGCAAGGATTCTGGTCAGCTAAAGATGTTCTTCTGTCAACGATTATTCTCAGTACAAGGCCTCAATTGTAACTGATATGTACGTTAATAACTGCTACCAGTAGGTGGCAGTAATCCCTCATCAAACATATCCTACAAAAATTTCCTGCTAACATCTATCCGCAGTGTTGTTGTAGCCGTGTGGATGCTACGATATAAGAGAGACAAGGTGAGTGAAGACCTTTATACACCTCAGAATCATTAATTACAGTAAAGGAAGAAAAAAATTTCTGGAGGGAAAATTATCATTCTTTTATTGCCAACTTCTGGTGATGAGAGAGACAAGCTTTCAAGCTACACAGAGCTCTTCCTCAGGTCAGGGAAAGGTATTCAGAGTGTCACTGCTAAATACAAGGTCAAACAGATAGTTTAGCGTAAGTTGTTAGCACATACTCTAAGGGACCATTTACCTTAGTACCTTGCCCAGACTTGAGGAAGAGTTTTGTGTAGCTCGAAAGCTTGTCTCTCTCACCAACAGATGCTTGGTCCAATAAAAGATATTACCTCATCCACCTTGTCTCTGCCAATATTGGTTATCTGTAACTTCCAAGAAAGTGCCAATTATAATTCACCAGTCCATGATTAAAAAACCTTAGTGACCAGTTGTAACGTCACACAAACAAAATACAGCTTTAAAAAACCTAATAGTTTTTGGATCAGCTTCTAAGTATTTTGGTTTCTTTTCTCATTCATTTTAATAGCGAGGGCAAAACAGAACTGTAAATCAAAGCACATTATTATACCTAGAAAATACAGTTACTTACCTGTTGTAACAGTTGTTCTTTGAGATGTGGCTGCAGATATGTATTCCACAACCCACCCTTGGTGGCAGATCTGGCAATGCTCTTGCACATGAGCCTCCCCCAGACACTTCAGACAGCTGAAGTCCGGGTCGCTCACTGGCATAGGCTTGCCACAGGAGGCACAGAGTTTGAAGTCTGGAGACTGGGGCATGTCCCTCTACGCAACTGTGGGGTCTAACTATATACACTACTAAGAGAAATAAACTAAAGGTAACTAAACCTGTGAAGAAAGAAGGGAATAACAAAGCCACTAGATGAAAGCCTTGCCAAGGCAAGAGGAGTTGTTCCAGCAACCATCTTGGGCGGTAAGAAGGAACTGAGAGGGTGCGGGTTGTCCGGGACCCTTATACCAGTGCACGAGCGCATAGCATCAGAGGGCGCTAAAGCTGGTCCAACGGATACCACTGAAGGAAAAATCTCTAACGACTGTGCCTGGGGCACGCCCACACCTAATGTGGAATGGATATGAGCAAGCACTGGGAGAAGAAAATATAAACACCTGGGAGGAACATAAATAAAGAAGGAAAACAAAAGAGAATACCATACCTGGCAATAGCTAAGCAGTAGATTGCATTATCTCTTGGAGTTCTTCCATTGTGTTCTGAGAAACACTCAGAGGAGGAATTTAAGAGCAATTTAGCATTAGGTGTTGAATAGTAGAAAGGAGGGCGTGAATTTCTGAGGCTAGAAATAGGGGGCAAAGGAACTTTAGCTAAACACATATTTTGGTCCATACTTTCATCTTTTCTAGGCTGAGCAGCCTTCTTTCTAATATTCTTCTTTTGGTGAAGTCTGTGTATGTTAGGGAGCTTATTCGTGTCTTCCAACGGAGGTAATTTGAGCTTTATTACTTTTTGGTTCCCCTTTGTAATTGTCAAGGGACATGACTCTCTCTCATGTGGAGTTTGATCAGTTAGGTTTGGTAACTGATAGTCCGTATTGCCTGCTGCCTTGATCCTGGCTTTGGAAGTCATTTTCGGCTTTGTGAAGCCATCCACAATAACAGTGTCCCCCACTCGTGTTCTGAAGACTGCAGCCTGGTTAAGCCATTTCGTGGTAAAGATGTGACTCTGAGCCCTAAGCAACCACTGCTTTAATTTAATGTAGATCTTCATGGGAAGTGAAAAATTAGGATAAGAAACCACTGACCACATTTTGGTAACTAAATATAGCACACAATCCTTATGCTTGTGTTTGATGCATATGTTCAGAGGAATTTGCCCTGCTGGATTTTGGCACTCTAGGCACAACACACTATAATTGACAAAGGCCTTCAGTATAATTAGTTGGCCTGCTTCTGCAGCTGCATGAACCGGACATTTAGTTACATCTGGATGATGTGTTTCCTGACACCATTCTCGGTAGGGATGAACACCCACAGCCGCATTGGGTCTCACTCCTTGTTTCAGGATCCATGCCGCGAGCTCAAGGTGCCCAAAAAATGCTGCCATGTAAAGAGCCACCCTCTTCTGATATCTGAAAAAAAGAAACATGCAAAAAAGTAATTAACTGAACTGAAGAAATCCAACATCACATAAGCATTAGAAAAATACTACCTTTCAAAATGATGTATATTTCTTTGCAGAATGACAGCACAAAAATATTCAGCCAAACATATGCCAAGATATGTCTGTAAGTCTCATAATTTTGTGCTCTAATGGGCTGATATTCATATGGGGATCATATTATCTAAAGTAATTTGTACCTTTGTTAAAAGGCTTAGTCAATGTTGATCATATTTGTTATCCACAAATGAAAACAGAGGCATACGCTGATTTTACAGTCTGTGGAGAGAAGATTTTAAGATGACCCACTAGAGATATCGTGGGTGAAGAAGGGTTTCATAAAGTGGAACAGGATTTACAGTTTACACAAGGTAAGGTGTTTCACATCCACATGACATTCAAAAATGTGAGAAGATGAGTACCATGAGATCTTTAAAGGCCAGTGTAAAAAGAGTGCAAGTATTTCAGAGACAAATAGTTGGACATTTTAAAAGTGGTGGGGGGGAGAGATTAAATGATACAGGTACAAAATAGGGGACGAGGGTTAAAATACATGTAAAGAGGATAGACTTGTCTGGCTAATTCTTATCTAACAATTCCTTATGTTCTGTGTGTCCTTGTTCTTGGTAAAGACAGTAGAAACCACTTGCTATGCAAAGCCACTGCCACTAAATAGAAAAATAAACCTTAGACTATCACCACAATCTACATATGGAGTAATATTGACACTGAGCTACTATTTCATATACTGTAATCCATATGACAATTATTTTCATTATATTGCATCTTTCATTACATTTCCACTAATGGAGAGCTACTCTATTCTAGCTTAATACTCCGTTCAAGTCTGTTATTCATACATTGCCCTTTTATATCCTATAGTGCATTCATAATTAGATACCACAAAGGGGCACTGTGTTTATAATGCCCAGATTTAAAGGAAACAGATTAAATTCAGATGAGATATTGCCATCTTCTGGAAAGTAGTATGACTTGTAAAAAATTGATGGGGTGATGAACTATTCCCGACAGCAATAGGCTATTTGAACTCAGGGCAGACTCTATAGTATGAAGGCACTAATTAATTATTTCCAAATCTATAGCGTCAAGTCATTTGTTAGCTAGCATCCAGTGTACAAAAGACACCATTTGTTTATATTTCTGACACTTTACAGTCTGGGTTTTTAATTAGTAAATTAAATATTGAGAATCTTGTGCTCTACTCCTGTTATAACCCCATAAGATGGGGGAAACAAAAAACTTGATAAAGTCAAGTTCCACAAGGTCTGTAGCCATGTTCTAAACATGGTGCCACACTATCAGGCAGTGCTGTGATTTCTTACACGGGCAAAGGCTGGTATACTGTAGTTCATTTAGAATAAATCTTATTGTGTTATGTCATGTCTAAAGATCTTTCATAGTCAAATGATCTTCTTTATCCAGTTAGGTCAGTAATAGGATGCTTTTCCCTTGCACTGATAAGATCTGGGATCCTTTCTCTCCTTTGTATCTCTCACCAAAGCTATGTACTGCAAAACAATCTATATGTGTTCAGAGTTATTAAGGGGGCATTAAATATGGCATTGGATTGCAAAATCTCCATGAAAATGTAGTGGCACAGTCACAAAAGCTACCTGGTCCCCTTTACCATAACAACTTAAAACTAATTATATTTTACTTGCCTAGGAAAAACTCATTCCAGGTGAATGGGCAAGTAGAATTTTACAAGGCTAGTTCTTGCTCGGTTGCAAGAACAGTTTATTAAAAACAATTGTGAAGAAGTGATGGTGATCTTTAGGGCAGCCTTCAGAGATGTCATTACAATTCCCAAATGTCCAAATAAGAGTGACTTTTTAAAATACATACACTCCTGTTGTAAAATAAAAGCGTGATCCTCAGTCAACTGACGTCAATATGGATCAGGCTCCAAATTACTAAAATGGTAGCTGGTATATTTTTTATATTATGGAGGATATTTTTGCTATACTCCCTTTAGGAGATATTTCAATTGCTTGAATAGTACCTTACATCAAAATACTGAAGTAAATTGGCAGTTAAGTCCAAGACATAATCAATTTTCAAAAGACATTATTGGGGAACAGAGGTGCTTGGACTGGAGAAATTAAAATGGGCTAAAAACCAAACGCAATTAGTTACCGTACTTGAGTACTGGTTCTTCATCAGACAGGAAGCGTTGGACTGTATGCTTGTTTCCTAAGAGGCACCCAGTCAGGAATTCTTTCCATCCATCCCACACATCCAGGCGAAGTGTTGTGCCTACCAACAGCGAGATGCAATCACTTAGCTTGCTTCCAGCTTTGTTATTTTTGCAATTTATAAATGTCTAAACCTCTCGGTTTGCATATAAAAGATATTTGTCTGCAACCTACTGGCTGAAGTGTGTGTACCACAACCCTCCACTGGAGGGCATGTCAGGCCACACACCTGCGAATAGCTTGTCCTCTAGTGGCTGGCCAGAAAAGAGAATATAAGTCCCCCTATCACTGTGAATTTACCAAACTACCCAACAATCTGAAGAAGTGTTAGTTTTGGCTAGTTTATATTCAAAATAGGGGATGTTTGTAGTCTGTTGCACACAGATGGGATATTAATTGGTTACTTGGTCTGAAATAGCCTGAATTTTGTGACCTTACAGGCATGTAGCAAAAACCGTCTATTGGAAGGGGTGTCAGAGAGGGTTGAGGGTATGGTCTCAGAATGATGGGTGGATGGGAGGAGGCTGAAAGGAGCTTTTTGTAGCTGGCTGGCTAGTTGAGTTGTGCTGTTGTTCCTCTCTGATGGTTTGCTTTTTAATGCCACTGGAAGTATTATGTTGTAAACGTGATTGAGTGTCTAGGCACCTAGAGCCTGTGTATAGGTGTCTTTCTTATTATTTAAATCAAAATTTAAAAAAACAACAGATAAATGATACATAAGAAAGGACCTTGAGGTTTGCTACTAACAATCCACTATAATTTGATATTCACATTTTAAACATAGTCACAGACCCATCTTCCTGTAAAAGATTTGGGGCAGTGAAGTTCAGCAGGAATTTCCTGTTCTAGGAAGTATTGTAATTAAAACTTCCATTAGAGGGCATTAAAAATACTCTGGTCTCAGTCCTGATCTTTTTTTCATGGCTGTAACATCCACTGGTTTCTGGGGGTAGAAGTTGGCCCAGTGTTAAAATTGCAAATATCAGATAGGCTGTGAGATTCTAAATTTAATAGTTTAGAGCCTGTTCCTGGCAGGCTGATTTTATGTTCACACTTAAATTCCATGGAGTTATGTGGGTGTTAAATCAGTGTGAGTGCGGACAGCTCCCACACACAAACCCCCACATTTGCAATGATTGCAACAGCAATTGTGAATGCATCAGGACTGCAAAACTGGGCCTCTAAGTTTTGGATCTCTAACGTGTTTCTGTTCTGGTTTGGAATGTTACTGTGTATATACTGGGTTCAGGACCCTGCACCAAATATTCACACCCAAGATAGTAGAATTATTGATCAGATTACCTAACTCATGATTTCAATAGTTCAGTTTCTGTATGTATACTGTTGACCAAGTCCTGGGGCTTTTTTTCTGAACAGTTTTATAAGCAGTTTACATTTAGATTGTCTGCTGGTGAATGTTTATTTCTGTAATACTGTATAAATGGTATCAGATGTGTGTTTGACCAGCAACTTAATTATCCATCTTTTGTAAATATACTCCTAGAAACCAAACATTACTTGCTTGTTGTAAGTTTGTATTTGTCTGGGTTATTTTATATTTATTCCCTTTCTAAATATTATGGGGACAAATTAAACATTGCCCTGTACCTTGTGTAGTCATCCACATTAATGGAAATTTGAGCAGGTGTAAAGCATTATCAGATCATAATAGTAGTATTTTACACCCATTTTACACTCATTTTATACTGGTATAAATTGACTATACAAGGTGCAGAATTGGTCTGTATTTCGTATTCACTCTCCAGACTTAGGACTATAGTATGTTTAAGTCTATATTAACATGCTAGTTTATTCCATACATTTATCCACAAACGTACGTTTTCTACTTCAGGGAAAAATAAACCATACGATAACCTACTGCTTTTCGGACGTCAGAAAGTTAGGGTGGGGGTAAATTCTCCCTTTACATAGGCACCGATTCAGCAAGGTACACAATCCTAACTTTAAGCAAGTGAGTAGTCCTATTGAAGCCTGATCCACCTCCACTAAAATGAATGGGTTTATATGGAGTAGACATGAGGGAAGAAATTGTGCCCTTATCTGTACTATTGGTTGTCATCCATAGTTATACGTGTACTGTGTGATTAATTTCATTATTATTTTTTCTTTCTTACCAATGGGTAAACCAAGGTACAGGGAGGCTGGGTGCTATGCTCAAGGTCACGTAGTGGCTTGTTGGGATACCCAGAAATAGAGACTAGGAGTCCTGGCTTCCAACCAACCAGTTTAATCACTAGTGCCTCAGAGCACGGGGGGCGGGGGGAGGTGTATGTGCCTTCTAAAAAACAAAAACTGTGGATGTCCTCATTAGCCACATAAATGTCTAATCCTTTTTCAGTGCTACTAAGCTCTTAGCACAGAGCGCCACAGATAATTTACATGCTGTATGGAATGTCCCTTTGTTCTTGTTATGAGAAAGTGTAAATAAAGGTGCCCTGTTAGCCATCTTTCCAGCAGTCATTATTACATACACCTATATCTAGTCCCATCTTCTGTCTCCTCTCAAAACTAAACAGTCCCTGTCTTTTCAGTCTCTCATACAGAAATCTCTCCGTATACAATCCCATTTTTGTCACTTCTCTCTTAATCCTCTCTGCTATATGTTTTGAGATCAAGTGACCAGAACTGAATATAACATTTCTGAAGCTCCATGTTTCCCTTGTCGTAGCCGTACCATCAGTTTTTGGGCCTCAAGAGCCTCTCTTTCAGAGTCTGGCTACCTGCAAACTATCCACTGTTGGTATCCTTACAAGTTGAAGATCACTGTAAGTCATTAGAATATATTGTAACTAATTGGGCATAAATACATGCACACTATGAATGATTGAATCACAGAAATGTAGGATTGGAAGGGACCTCGATAAGTCATCTAGTCCAATCCCCTGCACGGAGGCAGGACTAAGCATTAACTAGACCACCCCTGACAGGTGTTTGTCTAACCCGTCCTTAAACACCTCCTGGGACAGAGATTCTACTACTTCCCTAGGTAATTTGTTCCAGTGCTTAGCTACCCTGACATTTAGGAAAAACATTTCCTAATGTCATACCTAAATCTCCCTTGCTGCAATTTAAGCCCATTTAAGTCCTGTCCTCAGAGGTTAAGAAGAACAATTTATTACCCTCTTCTTTTTATCAACTTTTTACATACTTGAAGACCGTTATGTCCCTCCTCAGTCTTCTTTTCTCCAGACTAAACAAACCCATTTTTTTCAATCTTTTCTTGTATGTCATGTTTTCTAGACCTTTAATCATTTTGTTGCTCTCCTTGGGACTTTCTCCAATTTGTCCACATCCTACCCCAAATGTGGTGCCCACAATTGGACACAGTTCTCTAGTTAAGAGAGCTGAGTAGAGTGGAAGAATTACTTCTCACGTCTTAGCTTACAACACTCTTGGTAATACATGTGTGACAGAGTGCCAAGCAACAGCACCTGTTCCAGCAGTCTGACCATAGCAACTTCAGTTAGTTGCCCTATGCACACCTGAATGTGGGAACTGAGCCAAACTGATAGGCTGGAAGAGTTAATAACTAATTACCTCATTAACTCAGAAGGTAAAAAGGCACCGGAAGGAAGTACAATGGGTGGGAGAGAAACTGCTGTAGGCTGGTAGAGCCAATGACATAGGAGATTTCTCCCCTGCTGGGCTTAGAAGTCCCCAGCTGGCCTATGCCAGCTAACTCAGGCTCCGGGAGTTCAGGATAAGGGGTGTTTAATTGCAGTGTAGACATTCAGTTTGGGCTGCAGCCCAAGCTCTGGAACCCTCCCACCACGCAGGGTCCTATAGCCAGGGCTCCAGCCCGAGCCCAAACATTGACACAGCAACCTAAGCAGCCCCTTAGCCTGAGCCTGCTGACATGGGCCAGCTGTGGGTTTTTAATTGCAGTATGGACATACCCTTAGAGCCCCACAATACTGATAAAGCTGCTGCACAGTCTGTGAACAAACTTTGTAAATGAATCACTTGGTATTTTACCTGAAGAAGGTCTCCAAATAGTTTTTTTTTGTGTGGAAAGAGGCAGAAGTGGAGCATGCCTCTGCCACAGCATCCCAGAATGATGTTTGCTTTTGTTAGAACAATATTACATTGCAGACCCATATTTAGGTTGCGATGCACTAATGCCCCCAAATTTATTTCTGCAGTACTCCTTCCTAGGCAGTCATTCCCCTTTTTGTATTTGTGTAATTGATTATTCCCTCCTAAGTGTAGAACTTTGCATTGTTCTTATTGAATTTCTGTGTATTCTCCCATCTTACAAGCAACACTCAGTCTGATAATAATCCTCATTCTTCTCTCCCTTACACCAGTTTTATACCAGTGCAGCTCCAGTGAAATAAGTCCCAACTTACAATGGTACAAGTGCAGGCCCAATATTGTTACAAGGGCATGCAGAAGTGCATTATGAGTTCCTTTTGTGCATCATTAATTTTTGTCTCTCCACCTGCCTTTCATGTTGTTTTATTTTGAAGGGCATCATATGACCCAAAATGTTTTTTTAAATACTGTGATCTGCATTAGAAAAGTATCAGTAATATTAATGCTTTTCAGGTTTCCCTAAATATAAACTTAATGATAAATATAACATGTCAGTTTTCTGTATTTAAGGAATTAGACACGCATTTGGTCAACATTGCTCTATTTAGTAGATAGTGAAAATAAAACCATCTTATACCTATATCTAACTGGTAATCGTTCAGTATGTTGCAGTCATACATCTCCCTGCCCTCTGGAGTCCTGAGACAATAAACACTATTTGGAAAGCCACATTTCAGGGTTACCAGTGTTTTCAAAAGGGACACTTTTGTAGCAAGAAGATAAATACTCCCCTTAATGGGCACTTTCTCTTGAGTTACAGCATTGTATACATAGAAGGCTGGTTTGTCTTCTTCCTAAAAACAAAAATAATAATGACATAAGTACTCCAGCAACATTGCTCTTGTAAATTGTATCTATAGTTTAGGTACGCTGTTTTTACACATCTAAGGATCTACTGCCCTTTTTGTTTGAGTGTGCTCTAGTGGATAGAGCAGGAGACTAGGTTCTATTACCAGCTATCCCTCAAACTGGTTGCTTGACCTTCACCCATTAACTTCAGCTGAGTAGCATCCGTGAGTTAGAGCAGAATTTGGCTCTATTAGTGAAACAGGAGGAGATGGCAGAGAGGATATCTTACAATTTACAATCTAGACTTCCTATAGGATCTTTGACTGCTTCTGGATGTTCAGATAGCCAGCCAGCCACGCCCCCCCTCCTCCCCCCCCCCCCCCCGAATAGTTGCTTTTGTTATCTCTGGGCTTGACTAAGGCCTTGTCAAAAGCCTGTACTTTTGTCTTCTCCAGATTGACTTACTGCAATATGTTCTTTGTGGTGCTATACCTGATGATAAAGTTAGTCAAAATTTTCAATGAAATTTTTTGGGTTTCCCAAGCACCACTAGCTGAAGATCATTCACATTTCAACTAACAGAATAAGGCTGTCTACCCACTTGATGAGATTTCAGCCCTTCATAGTTTGGGTTTTGTGTCCCTTATTATTTCTGTAGTGTCACTGGCATGCTCGACACTTAGGACTTGTTTTCACTAGAAAATGTTATTGTATTTGACATGACTGTTAAAAGTAGCATAGATGACAGCATTAGACACTTAGGGTAGAGGCTGTTCTAGATTTGATTTTTGACAAATAGGGAGGAACTGGTTGAGAATTTGAAAGTGGAAGGCAGCTTAGGTGAAAGTGATCATGAAATGGTAGAGTTCATGATTCTAAGGAATGGTAGGAGGGAAAACAGCACAATAAAGATAATGGATTTCAAGAAGGCAGACTTTAGGAAACTCAAGGAGTTGGTAGGTAAGATCCCATGGGAAGCAAGTCTAAGGGGAAAAACAGTTCAGACAGTTGGCAGTTTTTTAGAGACATTATTAAGGGCACAATAGCAAACTATCCTACAGAATAGAAAAGATAGGAAGTATGGCAAGAGGCCACCTTGAATTAACCAGTAGATCTTCAATTATCTGAAACTCAAAAAAGAGTCCTACAAAAAGTGGAAGCTAGGTCAAGATAAAAGGATGAACATAAACAAATAACACAAGTATGTAGGGACAAAATTAGGAAGACCAAGGCACAAAATGAGATTAAACTAGCTAGAGACATAAAGAGTAACAAGAAAACATTCTACAAATACATTAGAAGCAAGAGGAAGACCAAGGACAGGGTAGGCCCATTACTCAATGTGGGAGAGAACAATAACAGAAAATGTGAGAATGGCAGAAGTGCTAAATGACTTTTTTGTTTCAGTTTTCACCAAAAAGATTTTGACTGGACTTCTAACATAGTGAATGCCAGTGAAAATGAGGTGGGATCAGAGGCTAAAATAGGGAAAGAACAAGTTAAAACATTACTTAGACAAGTTAGATGTCTTCAAGTCACCAGGGCCTGATGAAATACATCCTAGAATATTCAAGAAGCTAACTGAGGAGATATCTGAGCCATTAGGTTAGCGATTATCTTTGAAAAGTCATGGAAGATGGGAGAGATTCCAGAGGACTGGAAAAGGGGCAAATATAGTGCCAATCTATAAAAAGGAAAAGAAGAACAACCCGGGGAATTACAGACCAGTCATCTTAATTTCAGTACCCGGAAAGATAATGGAGCAAATAATTAAGGAATTTATTTGCAAACACTTAGAATATAAGTAACAGTCAGCATGGATTTGTTAAGAACAAATCATGTCAAACCAACCTAATAGTTTTCTTTGACAGGATAACATGCCTTGTGGATATGGGAGAAGAAGAAGGGGTGATATATCTTGACTTTCGTAAGGCTTGTCTCGTATCACCTTCTCATGAACAAACTAGGGAAATACAACCTAGATGGAGCTACTATAAGATAGATGCATAACTTGTTGGAAAACCGTTCCCAGAGAGTAAATATCAGTGGTTCAGAGTCAAACTGGAAGGGCATGTCAAGTGGGGTCTCACAGGGATCAGTTCTGGGTCTAGGTCTGTTCAATATCTTCATCAATGATTTAGATAATAGACTCATAGACTTTAAGGTTTTAAGGTCAGAAGGGACCATTATG